CTTACAGGTCAGCAGGCTGGAAGTGTGCAGAGATACTCTATCGCTATATAGTGCATCATGTTCTCATTTTAATTTCATAGAAGACAAATCAACATACCCAGATATCTGTCTTCCAATGTCTTCTGATCTCTTCCAATGGACATTTTCTGTTTGTAATTTCTTTGGCGTACTTGTGGGGAGTTCAAAATAACATGCTTTGGTATCTTCAGAGGTGCAATGGAATCCTGTTTTGAACTCGTAGTCTCTTGAGCGCCTAATAATCTTTGGATGATCCTTTCTTTGTAATAGCACTCATCCAATATAATAATGTTAACATTCAACATAAAACTATATGTACAGATCTTGCTGGGAACAGCCACTTCACAAATCAGCATTTTATTGCTGCAGGATTCTAAAAATACATCCACTAGTAGTACTAATAAAACTCTATGATACAAGATATAGACAAGTCTTGGGGACACAGAAAACCCAGTTTTGTGGTCAATGCAACCTTATCTCTGAGGGATACAGGGACCCCTATATAGCTAATGTTCCCCTGTAGCCAAGGTTAGCTTAAGCTAGCCATACACATGTATAAATAAATCTGTACTGCCAGCTACATGTATTTAGGCAGCCACTAGGCCCATGGTTGTCTGAATAATCAAACAGTGACTGCATCTGATTGGATGGGATTGCTGTTTGACCACCAATTTTCCAACGCACCCTTTGATTTTTCAAACAACTTTTGCTGAGCCATGGGGTGCCAACAGGGCCACCCATGGCTCCAATATAAGTTGATTTAGTAGGAATCAGCTGGAATTCAAGCCGTATATGGCTGATAAAGCTACCTACCTACTTGATACTGAAGGCTACTGAAGCTACCTTCAGTCTGCATTTTGCAATGATCTCATCAATACAACCATCACTCCTGCCTGTGCACAGAGGATGTTGTGAATGTTGAATAGGATAAACCAATATTATGTCATATTTACAGGGAGAGGAGGAAGAACAGCAAATGGGAGACCATAGTGAGAAATTAGGAACTTTGAGATCATCATATCTCTTTAAAGGAGAATAGCATTTTTATAATTTTTTAATTTATAT